ATGGTCCGCCCCTTATCTGCAGGGCCCGCCCCCACTCGTCGGCCCCGCCTCCCTCCCTTCCCCCGCGGCCTTTCACCTCCGCTGCAGGCCCCGGGGCAGCCCCGAGCTTGGGGTGGTGGGAGGGGTAGGTCTTGGGAAGTCGGACTCTTGTGCTCGGGCCACGTCCGTCCGCGCGGCCAGGTTGGGCATCTGCGAGTAGGCGCTGCGCGAACCTAGGGTGGGAAAGTCCGTGCGAGGGGAAGGAGGGCCAGTCCTGAGAGCGGGTCCTGAGTGAGAGTCCCGCTTTCCCGCGGGTCCTCCCAGCCCCACCAAGGGACGCTCTGTGAGGCGAGCGTGCGGGCTCCGTGCTGGGAAGGCCGCTGAGCCGCTGGGCCAGGCAGGACGAGGTGAGGCCCCGGCGACCGCGCGCCCCGCAGCCTTGGCCGCGGGCCGTGCCCTNCCAGGCAGGACGAGGTGAGGCCCCGGCGACCGCGCGCCCCGCAGCCTGGGCTCAGCCGCAGAGCCCGCTGCTTCTAGGAGTAGCAGCTTGAAGGAGAAAAGTGGAGCAGCCGCCTCAGACACCGCCTCCACCGCTCCTCTCCATCTCACAGGTGGGGAAACCAAAGCTGGACAGGAAGCCACTTGTTTCTGGCCTTGGGCCGTTTTAGGGCCCAGGAAACAGGCCCAGAATTCAGGGCTCCCATCTCTGGGGCAGGAACATTAAGGAACCCATCCTGGGCCCTGTAGCCGGATATAGTTGTGCCCACCTACCTCATCCCTCCTGCTTGTAGGGCACAAAGCCCTGCCTCATCAGCTTGAACAGGGTCTCTAAGTACAGGGTCTGCAGGCCTTGGGGGTCACAGACCCTGCTTCCTCACCTGGCCTGGTGTCAAAGAACACAGGGGAGGGAAAGGAGGAGCCTCCCTCAAGCCAGGCCCATCTTGCCCCACAGGCCCTGCCACTCACCCAAGCACTGAGCGAGGTGGTAGCTGTCTGTGAAGATACCCAGGAGGTCTTTGAAGCTTATAATTCCGTCACCTGGGAAGAGACAGGAGGGGGTGCTGTGCAGAAGGCCTATACTAGGGGCTTGCCAGAAGTTCCAGGCATTAGAGAAGCCAGTCCTGCCTCTAGCCAAGTGTCAGCCCTGGTTGAGTGGAGGAGAAATAGCCCTTGCCCTGGGGAAGCACCAAGTAAGGCTGAAGATTAACACAGCAGAAATATTTGGAGGCTATGGGATAGGCATATTGATCAGGGCAGACTTCCTGGAAGAGGAAACTTTAAAATAGACTAGGCCAGGGATTCTGTGGGCTAGAGGTGGGAGAAGATGAGAGGGCAGAGATGGGGGCACCCACCATCCAAGTCTGCCTGCTGCAGCGCCTCACACATCTATGGGCTGGATACCCATGGTGCACAGGGCAGCTTTCATGCTGCGCATGTCCACAGTGCCTATTGGGCTGGAGCGGAACAGTTTGAAGATATCCTGGAATGCTGGGGGCAGGAAGAGGGGCAGGCAACAAGGTGAACTGCATACATAGTAACCCTGAGATCTGTCCACTGTAGCTCAGATGGGACTGAGGATTGGGTCACTCCAACCCCCTGGGCATTATAATTTTTAATATAAAGAACAACAGTGGCTGCTGTGTGTTGGAACTTGTTTAGTGCCCATTCAATTCTCATGTCCAAAACTCATGTTTGGACATGTCTGTATGAATAACATTCAAAACTTATGTCCAAGGTCACACCACCAGTAGGTGCAATCCTGGGCTTTGAACTCTGGCAGTCTGGCTCTGGAGCTACAGTGCTTTGAGGCTGTAGGAGCCCTGCTGGCACCTGGCATGTAGCAGGCACAGAAAATTACTGATGAATAAAATGCTTTTGTTTTGAGGGACCTCTGCCAATATCAAGGCATGATCTTTGGGGGGCATTGGGTTCCCCAAATGTCAAAGGGGTTTCTTTTTAAATGTTTTTATTGATTTTAGAGAGAGGAAGGGAGAGGGAGAGAGAGATAGAAACATCAATGATAAGAGTCACTGATCGGCTGCCTCTTGCATGCCCCCAACTGGGGATCGACTCCCTCAACCCGGGCATGTGCCCTGACCAGGAATCGAACCATGATCTCCTGGATCCTAGGTCGAGGCTCAACCACTGAGCCACACTGGCATGTGTGCATCGTGCTTCCTCTGTCTTTGTGTGGATGTGTTATGTGAGTGCCTGTCAGCTCATGGTGTGTGTGTGTTGCATGCACTATTACACATGGCTCTCCCCTACATTTTGTGGTACCTCCAACTCAAGGCTGTGGCCTCCTCGAGGGCCAATCTTTCAGCTTCATTATTTCCCTCCTTCAAGCCCCTGAACACTGTCCCTTCCCCATGCCAGGCCTTCCCCATGGAGAGAAGAAGGAAGGAAGAACTCCCTTCAGAGTCGCCTTCTTGCCTGCCCAGCCCCACCCCCAGGAGACTCTCTTCAGATGATCCCAATGTGTCCCTGGCTTCAGGCCAAGAGGAAGCCCTATTTTATGATCTAAGAAACTGAAGCCTCAGAGAGGGCACTGAGGCCTCCCCAAGACCAGTCCTGAGTCTGTTGATGATATGGAGGCTAGAATGGTGTGAGTGAAGTGGAACTCCCTGTGGGGAGTGAGCAGGTGGAACTGGGATAGCTAAAAAATGAGGTGGCATCCCTAAAAAACTGAGATTAGGACTTCGCAGCCAGGTGAGCTCACTGGTTCAGGAACTTCTGCACAAAAGGTCTGAGCTGGGAGCCAGCACTGGAGCCTTTATTGGCTTTGTTTAGTCATTTTTCTGGGGGCAGGCTGGGGCAACAGCTTAAAATGGATTTTCAGCAATAACGGATTCTGTTTCTTGGTTCCCGGCACTGAGCTGCAATGCAAAAGAGAGAGTGTCACTTGGGCCTCAGTGGGAGGGTCACAGGAGAGGGATGAGTCCAGAGGCCACTCTGAGGAGGACACTGGGGTAAGAGGGCCTATTCCTGCTGCACACTGATTGGGCAGCTGACATTGTTGTGTCCATTCATCACTAGGAAGCAGCAAGGGGTGCTGGAGAACCATGTCCCCTGTTTTGCCACTCGATGGGTCGGAGCCATTAGGTTCTTGGCAGGGCAGACACTGGCCTGAGCATTTCCGATGAGGCAGAGGTCACCTGGCCTCTGGGTGAGAAGCTTCCTAATGCTAGAATGGCCCTTCCCATTTTGAACCCAGGGCCCTGCCTGAGCCCTGGAGTGCTCACTCTCCAAGGTCCCCAGGCCTCCTGCAGCCCTGGCCTTGGCACTCCACCTCAGCCCACTGGAACCTTGTTTCCGGCAGCCTTTATGAGGTCACTGAGGTTGAGCCAGCAAAATCCACCCCATCCCCCACCCAGCCCCCCATTCTACTGTTCCCCACCCTCACCCAACTGTGTGGGGAGTGCACTCGCCCCCCCACCCAGCCTTCTCTCATGGGGAGCTGTGTGCCGACCTCACTTACTTGATTTTGTCTCCTTTCGGTGGAGAGGGCCTGGCCGAGGTGGAGAAAAACTTTACTTTCCCTTCAAGGGCAGTCTTCTGGAGCCCCGGCTTGCTAAAGTCAAAGTAAGGGTGAAGGAAGTTCTTGTCTTCCTGCTTGCAAGCTTTCTGCGGCTCCCCGGCTTCCAGTGGTTTTTCTGGTGGCTTCCCTAGCAACTCACAGAGCTTTTCCTGCTCTGCTTCCTCCTTGGCAGGCGGCGGGGAGGCACTCTCCACCACCGGCACCGTGGAAGGCTCCTCGGCCTTCTGGGGTGGAGGTTTTATTATGTTCCCCAAATTGGGCAAGTCCCTGTTGCTGGAGGAGGCTATGGCCAAGGAAGATGCGAGGTTGATCAGATCTTCTAGGCCGATAGCTGGTGGGAGATTGGAGGGCGAGTGGGTGCTTGGCGGCTGCGGGGAGCCTGTGTCTGAAAGCTCTGGCTGGGTGCTGGGGCACTGGAGCTGCTTCTCGGAGCACGGGGTGTCCTTGGGGACTGACTCCAGTCTCAGGTGGTTGGTGGTCTTACCTGTGCCATGCTTGCCAGGCTGCCTGCTGGTGTTCCATTGCAGCAGGCTGTGTTCTGAGGCCTGGACGCGCTTGTCTGCCCAGAAGAGGTGCTTGGAAGTCTGCACAAGGATGGAGCGATGGGTGGGGGACACTTGTTCCTCGTTGGTGAAACTCGGGTGGATGGAGTTCAGCCTCGAACTCGGCTGGTGGGTGTCCTGCTGCCCCTTTGTGGGGGGCTGGATGGACTGTTCCTTGCACTTCTGTTCCTCCAGGTCTTCATTGCAGGCCTTCAAGTTGGAGTCCAGTTTGGTGTCAGACTTGAGGATGGAGCAGCACTCCAGCGGCGGCACAGCGATGGTCTCCTGGTTCAGTTCTGTGTCTAGGTCCCCGTCCATTTTTTGTGGGGGATCCAGCTCTAGCAATTCATTCTCCAGCTGAAAAGTTTTCAACTGAAAGCTGAGGAGGCCCCTGCCCCTCAGGCCCTCCCTGGGACTCATTCCCTGCTCTGCTCCCTGCCCACGCTCTGCTCACTTCCTCCCCCGCACTTGCCTCTGCAGAGACCTGCCTGGGGCAGGGAGGCGCGTGAGCAGGTGTGTGTGAGCAGGCCAACGCTGGTCTGGTACTAGGGCCCCAAGGCTGTCAAGGGCAGGGGCTAGTTAGAATTTAGGGAAGATGGGCCTCCAGGAGCCCTGCCCCCTCCCCTCCCCCACCGCCTCTCCTTAAGAGGGGGCCCCCCCACTGCTACCTCCTGTTCATCTTCCTCCTGCGTAGGCTGGGGCCATTCCTGTGTGCCCTGGAACTGGTGCTGGTTCATGTCAGTCCTAAGGCAGGAGGAGACAGAGTGGGTGACAGGGCTCCATGGGGCTGGTGGGATGGCTTTAGGGGGAAAGGGATGTCTGGGGCCCACAAGGCCCCCCTGCCTTATACAGCAACTGGCTCCCTGCCTTGTCCACTCCCCTGGCTGTCCCTGCTTCCACCAGGAATTCTGGAGTTGTGTTCTCAAACTTCAGTGAGTTTAGAAAGTGCCTGGAGAGCTTGCCACGCTGCCCCTCTCCCCCTTGGTTGGTTGGAGGCGAGGCCTGGGACTCTTCATTTTAACTAAGCATTCCAGTGAGCTGATGCAGGTCACCTGGAGAACCAGTGCTCAGGAGGTGGCTCCTCATGGAAGGAGAAGCCCAGGGCACTGCCTGCCCCCTAACCTGCTCAGTCCCAGCTTGGCAGATGTGGAAAGCAGAGGGGTGTGTGTGTGTGTGTGTGCGTGCGTGGGGTCCCCTCAGTTTTGACAGCAGTGTGCTGCCATCTCGGCCCCTTGCCTTCAGTGCTCAGCCATGCGACCTGGGCCTAGACCTCCTCTCCTTCCTTAGGAACCTGCCCACCCCCAACTTGGACAGCTCTGTCCTTAGAGCAAGCTGGAGCTAAGGGCCAGGCCCCATCCACATCCCTGGTGTGCCCCACTACCCCTTAGTCCCCCCAAGGTTGATGACTGGAGGCAGAAGCTGGAGGGGGTGGTACCCCCCACCCCCGCCATGACCTTTTGGCCTGGATACTACCCTTGGGGAGATTTTGAAAACAGGCAAGATGGAGGGAGATCCTGGGTTGGGGGAGTACATGAAAACTTGGCAGTGGTGGCAGGGGGTAAGGGTTGGTGGTCCTGGAAGGTGGGGGAGAGGTCCTCCGATGATGGGGGACTGGTTCTCACTGTGTCTCCATTATGTCCACCGAATCCTTGCTACAGCAGGGAAATCCATTGGCACCTGGCAGGGAGAAGGAGGTGAGGGCAGGGGAGCAGCAGGTGGGAAACTCAATGCCCTGCCCTGCATGCTCTCCTACCCAGAAGCCTGGAACTGTGCGGGGTCCTTCCCCATCTCCCTCCATTCCTGCTCCTCTGTCCCTTTCTCCACTCTCTCCTGCCAGGCTGCAGATCTGCCACTCAACCTAACCCCAGCCCCTCTTATCCTGAAGTCCATCTCTCTTTCCCTGGCTTCTCACCTCGTCACACCCTGGGATCATCCATCCCCGACTTTGGGCCCAGGTTCTCAACCCAGGTGCTTGTTCTGAGCTGATGCTGACACGGATCTGGTGATTTATGAGCTCTGGTATCCCTCCACAGAGGAGACCGACTCCTTGGGGCAGCTCCCCCCACCCCAGGTCCCTCCCTGGAGGCTTGTATTTTTTACTGCAGAAGCTTTTTTTCATCCTCTGGGGATGGGAGGCACCAGGCTGTCCCATCCTTTGCTCCCCAGGGTAGTGGACCTCCCCATGGTGAGATCATCATGGCAATGGGCAAGTTGGGTCCCCATGAGCTGGGAGTGTGTCAGAAAGTGACAACCTTGGCTCTGGCTGAGAAAAATTGCTCCCAGGATTATATCAGAAGGATTGGAATGTGCTGTGGCCTCTTCCCAGAGATGCAGAGGCTGAGGTGGATCCCTGCATGGCTGGTCTTGGGACTAGGATTTGGGTGAGTAGTTCAGCCTGGGCCATGGGATTAGCTGACTGGCTGGGTGTGCCACCATGGGCAAGCTCCCAGGGGCAGCTAAGTGGTCTCTTCAGAACCCTCCATGCTCCCTTGACTTCCTCCCTACTTCTCTCTTCATCTCCAACTCCATCTGCCCAGGCACTGCTCCTCCCAGACCTCTGACCCCACAACCTTCCTTTCTTGTTTACAAAGTTTCCCTGGCAATTGAATCAACACCCCCCAGCCTTAACCCTTCTACGAACAGCAACTGAGTGTGGACAGGAGGTGAAACGATTATGATGTGGACCTCACAGCAGCACTGGGGGTTGAAAGCAAAAGTCTGAGGTTGACTCAACTTGGGGCTTCTGTGACATTCTGTAGTATGAGAAATAACTTCAGTTTCCAATTGCTGGTTGCTAGTATACAGAAATGTACTGATCTTGTATCTTGCAACTGTCCTAAAATCCTTTTGGTTCTAGGTGTGTGCTTTTTTCATAGCTTCCATAACGTTTTCTAAATAAACAATGTGTATAACTCAAGACAGCCTTACTTTTTTTCCGTTCCCACCTGGTGTCTCTTTATTTCCTTTTCTTGCCTTATTGCACGGAGAACAATCTCCAGTACAATGCTGAATAGAGTGGAGAGCGGCCATCCTTGCTTTGATCCTGAGTGTGGGGGGAAAGCATTCGTGATGTCACCATTAAATATGATGTTAGCTGTCGTTTTTCTCACAGGTGCCTTTGATCGGGTTGACAATGATCCCTTCTATTCCTAGTTTACTTAGCTTTTAATTAGGAAGGGATGTTGGATTTTGTCTGATGCTTTTTCTGATTATTGAGATGATCATATAGTTTTTATTTTATATTCTGGTGTAACATATTATATATTATATAGAACATGTTATACGTTAACATATGAATACTGACATATGTTATTCTGTTAATTCTTTTTTTTTGGTGAAATACATTGATTTTTAAAAAGTGATTTTTAAACCACTCTTGCTTTCCTGGAATAAACTTCATTTCACCATGATGTATTATCTATTTTTCTTTTTTTAGAATTTTTATGTATGTTCACGAGGTATACTAGTATGTAATTTTCTTTCCTTGTAATGTCTTTGTCAGGTTTTGATATTAGAGCAATGCTGGCCTCATAGAATGAGTTGAGAAGTATTCCCTCTTTAATTTTCTGAGTTTGTGTAAAATTGGTATTATTTCTTCTTTTGGTAGAATTCACAAGTGAAGCTTGTGAACCTGGGCCTGGAGTTTCCTTGGAGAAGATTAATCACAAATTCAACTTTAAAAAATAGATACAGAGCTACTCAGCCTATTTCTTCTTTTTTATCATGGTAAATATACATGACATAAAGTTGCCCATCTAAACTATTTTTAAGTATACAATTCATGGCATTAAGTACATTCACATTTTTGTGCAGCCATCACCACCACTATCTCCAGAATATCTACTTCTTCTTGAGTGAGCTTTTGAAGTTTGCATTTTTTAGAAGGAATTTGCCCATTTCATCTAAGTTGTTGAATTTATTGGCATTCATTGTTCGTAATACTTCCTTATTATCGTTTTCTTATCTGTAGAGTCTGTAGTGATGTTACCTCTTTCATTCCTCATACTGATAATTTCGGTCATCTTTCTTTTTGTTCCTGTTCACTTTGGCTAGAAATTGATCAATTTTGTTGATCTTCTTGAACCAGAGATGTGTCCTGCTCCTGCCTGATCACCATAAAGTGACACCTGCCAGGTATAAGCCCTGCCGTCACAGGCTCCCAGTCAGCTTTTTATGATTTCACTCTTAAACACAGACAGCCGAGCATCACCAGACATTTGAAGAAACTGCCAACATGCAAGTGACAGACCAAGAGAAAAGGCGACTCTGGAATAACTTGGAAAACAGAAGGGAGCTTAAAGAAAACGCTACTCATCTTCAGAGGTTCAGAGATGAAAATATTCAATAATATAAAATTGCATCCAGAAAGCAATTAAGAAAGAATTAGAGCCCAGCTGGGTGTGACTTAGCGGTTGAGCATTGACCTAGGATCCAGGTGATTGGGGTTTGATTCCTGGTCAGGGCACATGCCCGGGTTGCGGGCTCGATCCCCAGTCGGGGGCGTGCAGGAGGCAGCCGATCAATGACTCTCTCATCTTTGATGTTTTTCTCTCTCTCCCTCTCCTTTCCTCTCTCTGAGATCAATAAAGATATATTTAAAAAAAAAAAAGAAATTAGAGAAAGAACTTTTTGGTAAATAGAACTGGAATATAAAACACTTTTGAGAATCTTCCTAGAAAGTGGAACCAAAATATCAAGACAATGTGAGAAAAAAGGATCAATCGGAAGTCCAATTCTAGAAAGGAAACCCAGAAAGACTAAAGAACAGACAGAAGAAAATTTCTCCAGCTTAAGAATGTCATTGACTTAAAAGGGTTCACCGAATGCCCAGAAATAGACATCAAAAGATCCTTGCTGTGAAAGTTCATTGCACCAGGAGTAAAGAATTCCTAAATGCTTCCAAAGTCCGAAAACCAGTCACCTACTACGGGGGGAGGGGAATCGCACTGGACAGAGTTAGCAGCAACGGTTGTCTTTAAAATTCTGAAGAAAACAGTTTTTAACCTAGAATTGTATTTTGAGCCAAACTAGCATTTCAGATGTGAAAAGACTCAGAAAATGTACTTCTTTTGGGGGGGGGGATTAAGCAAAATTAAGGTGTAAAACAAGAGAGCCAGGAAGGAAATTGTGTATCTCCCCCTCGCCCCCTCCCCAGGAAAGCAGCTGAGTCCCAGGATGTTATTTGTATATAGAGACCTGCGACCAGTTCGCATAGTTGTAAGAAGATGGACTCTGGACCATCTGAAGTAAAGAAAACCTGATAGAGTAGTGGATTAGATGTAGAGTTTAAAGAAAGCCAAGGCTTTGATAAAACAAAA